CGTCAGCACGTGATGACCTGATGACCTCGACTGTACACCACAACCAAACGCCAAAAACACCGCATTGTCGACGTGCCACCAATGCCGCTTCTGTTGCTGGCATGACGTGAACGCGAGGATCAGCGGGTGCTGTTGAAAAACGATCACTCCGGTCGGTGGGTACTCGTTATCGGGCCGCGTCGTCAGCAAACCCCCCGATGGTGTCCGCTCTCTTCTTAAATCCGTGATGAAGCGCACGCTGCAAGGCCGCCCGGCGACTATCGGGAGCAGCCGATAAGATAAAGTGACCCGAACGAACTCCGTTCAATACAAACTGTGAAACGTCCTAAAAAGTGGGTGTGCCAAATATTCCTATAATTTTTTGCGTTTCATGCATCACCGGAAAATAATTGATATGCCGTCAAGACATTTCGTAAAGCATTACCACGAGACGCGCAGTCTTTTTATAAATCAACCCAACCATACATCGAAACCCTTACACACTGGTCGATAAACGTTGGTCGGCCAACTTGCGTCCATGGCGTTACCATGACAACAACCATGACGTCAATGTGGCTCTGGTGATGATTCGGGTCGGCGCATGAGGCGGTTCTCGCGGTACTTTGACGCCTTTGTAGTTCTGAGGATGCTTGTCCTGTTTATGCCCGCCGTGGGCGCGTTCGTCGAGCGGACGCGTTCGCCGAGCGGGCGCGTTCGTCCAGTGGCCGCTCGATTGTCCAGCCGAGTGGGAACGCGTTTTATCGACCCGGTATCTGGGTTTTAACGGTGACCCGCTTCGCGTGGTTTACAATGCCAGGCGCCCGGGGCGGTTCGACGCGCCCGCGTGCTCGCGGGGCCGGAGGACGGATATTTTAGGTCAGCCCTGTCCAAGAGGCGAGTACGACACTGGCATCAAAGGTGGAGATGCCAGACACGGACATGCGAGATCCACCTGTGCATCTTGCTTCAGATATAAAGTAAACTGTGCGTGTCCGTAACATTAAGCTCCTGTTAACTTAGGGAATACGGTCCGGAGTAGAATAAGACAGCAGCACGCTGTTGGGATTATGCTGCGAGGAGAGCCCAAGTCGTTACTAGGTTTGACTGTCTACTAGGTTTACTGTCGTTACTAGGCCTGACGTTAAGTATAGAGTGAATTTGCCGCAGGCTTGGAACCGGCTAGCATAAACGCCGAATATTCCCATGGTCAACTCAAAACACAACTGGTCAATGGCTGCAAACGCTTTCCTTGTGATAACACGATTGGTTTCACCACATCGGGACACAATGACTTGACGGATGGGCCCTTAGTCGCGAAGCATGTGAATGCCATTGACGTCAACGCCTCGAACATCGATACATCTCAAGGCTCCAGGCTCAGCTTGGTAAAATGCCATGAAAAAAATGAGACATGCAGGCGCACAACGTCCCAAAAACATTTCGGGGGGGGCTTTAAGAGCAGTATCTAACTTTTTTAGACCATTCCTACCAAGCATTGTGATAGGCGTAAATAAAATATCCAATAACTGGGGGCTCGCCGCTCCCCCCCCCCCCCCCCCCACCACGAAGGGTGTCAAGCAGCCCTCTTGGAGACCGGACGCGCCTGTCCACGTCTTGTCGCGCCCGTCGGCGTGGACGCACTGCCTGGCCCACGGACGGACACGAACCGCCCTCTCGGGACCGAGCCATACCGTTATTTACAATCTGACCGTCATCCCCCTCAATAGAGAGCCATTCAGAGGCCGAGTCGGGCTACGTTCGCCATGGGAAAGGACACATTTACCAAGCGAGGCGCGAGCATGACCCAGTGACCGGGGTTCGACCTGAGCGAGTCTCTCCCACGAGTTGGAGGGTTGTAGGGCTTGTCGAATGTCGACACAGAAGTGTGCCACACGCGCACTGCGACGCGCATAAATGATGCGTGCAATTCGTCGAAATGTGAAAGGGTGAGAACGGTTGGTGTTTAGAGATAAGGTTCTCTTCACACTGGCATCAGCAGTGTGCTCACTACATATGTTGATATAGCCAGCAAGTTACGAGCGAAGGCATTGGTTGAGCGTTGTTGCCCCCCACCCCTACCCCTACCCCCCTAATGAGTCAACAGCGCCATTGCGAGAATCAAACCGTCCAAGACATAATGCGAACAGAAAAATATGTTCCAAAAGCGTAGCATATAACCTTCCCGAATTCATTTTAAGAGACTCCAAACCTAGCTTTGCCAGCGTCGCTCACTGGCATCGACTTGCTTTGCAAGCCATATGAGGTGCAAGCTTTTACTTTTCATGCCAACTAACCACGTGCCTCGCCTGATATTCCGGTTAGTGATTCGCCTTCCACCGTCGTAACGGTACCGCGCTTCAGATCACAACGAAAGCCTTGGCGCATCGCACACGAACTCGGGGCAAAACGTGCCGCGCCTAAATCGAACAGAAACAAACGTTACGTAGCGGCAGGCCGAAACGTACCCCTCATCGAGAGCTGGATCACAAGGCAGGTGCTTTGAGCCGGCTGCTGAAACGCAAAATTGTATGGCACCTAGTTGGGTCAATCCACAACAAAAATTATCAGACCCTCGTCAACTTACATAGTCGAAAGGCACACGTCGTATGCTACTAAAACCACTATACCATCATACCAACCACCCCACCGACACACTACTCACAACGCATGCCTACTGAGAAGGCAAAGATTGTCGAATTATGTTGCGAATCATAGCTTTGAGCTGACGCTTTGGGACGTTGCACCTTGAGTAATGGCTTCCTCGTTGTACTGCTGCACCGTGCGATACATATATGGTCTCTTTCCATGGCGGTTTTTCACGCGGGGCAGGTTCGGATGGTGCGACTGCCTTGTGTTTCGGGCCGCGCGCTCACGATTGTGCATTGGCGCAGAGCGAAGCACGACAGGCTTTCCAGCGACCAGAACGCTGTGCATCAGGCGGAGATCAGAGTCAGAAGTAAACTCATGTGCAGACAGCCAGGCGAACTGATCGTGCACATCCGATGTGCGATCATATTTTGTTGGCCCGTGATGACCCTGGCAGCGGAGCTGAAGACTTTTCACAGTTTTGACGTGTTCGAACGACTTTCACTGACATAAACTTGGACACAATAGCGTGCATGCCGTGCATTTGTTTACCACCTGATCTATGTGACAGCTGCATGACAGGGGAGGGCCCGTAACAATCCAGGGGTTTCACATGGCTTCTCAACGCTGCCACACCTGATTCCATGAACACTACGGACGGATGCTCTCGGCTTTGGCTCAGCTGTGGACGGTCGCTATACAACAACATCTCGGTTTTGCTGGCATGCCATCATCCCAGGCTGCAAACACCACGTGCACGCTACGTCCAGCGCTGACCCCGGTGACTGCTGCACCTCCGCTCATCCGACGCGGGGCGCTGTAACGACCAGCTGCGCGGCGTCAGCGTGCCGGACTGCTGTGACACATCCGTTTATGTGTGATGGAATGACGCAAATCGCGGCGTTGCTGCGGATGTTGTACAGCAGGGCAGCAAAACACAAATATTTGTATTGTTCTTAATTGGGTTGAGTAGGGTTGGAATTGAACGTGTTATCACTCAGTGTCTGGAGTGATGTCACCCAGTGTATATATCACTGAGTGGACACTGAGTGATATATGACATATAAGGACACTGAGTGATATATATCACCCAGTGTCCTTCCGAAAACTAAGACCGCCCGCATGTCGATTCTTCATGCTGCTAGAACGACCAAGGTCTTCGTGATTGCGTTATATGTTCTCCGTTGGTAGCCGGCACGTATGTTGGCCGTGGGCAACGTTTTACCTGCGAGCTTGCTTATTTGACATTGCATCCGGGGAAACGAGGATTCTCCAATTTAACGCACACGGGGCTGCATTTTCGGTACGTTGGGGGGTCAGCCTCACCCCCTCATCTGTCCGCCCCAGTTCCCGAGCCTCTGCATTGTGTCTACTGCTGACCGTACCAGCCTTGCCAGCGGCATCACAACACACAGCATGTTTATTATTACATTACCAACGGCCATTAAGCCCCTCAGCGACGGAGGCCAAACAGCCTTTCACAGCGTTTAGGTCTTGCTGATCTTTTGCTGATCTGCTGATCAGCTTTTGCCGATGGATCAAACTTTCAAGGATTCCATCCGAAGGCCCTATGTTGGGAAACTGGCCAGGGGTTTCCTGTTCGGTTGGTGAACTTCAACCTCCCTCAACTCTAACCTTGAGGAGTGGACAAATTCGGACGAAAACGTTTTTAAGTGCATTATGGAGCCACTTTCAGTGAGTTCTTCCGCCCGGACCAACTTCTTTTGTGACGTAACACTCTGCCTATATGTAAGTGCCAGCGCGTTGATTCTCGGGAGTACTGGGGTACTGATACCCAGGGTTCTGACAGCCACAAGTCACGGATGTTTGGGGAGCTGTTCGGTGTTGTCTTTAAACCTCAAGAGATGCCATGCGATTTCGGCCACATGGACGGCTTTACTGCGGCTGCGAGCGGTAATCAGCCAAGGCAGAATAATAAACAAACGTACGGGGCAGAGATCATTCGCCGGCTCGTACCACCCGATAACCCTGGCAGCGGGCAAACGCGACGAAACGCTCGGGATTTAACGATTGGAGCGCCTTTGAAGCGAACGACTCAAGTGTCGTACTACTCCAAACTCTACACTCCGACACTGGGGAGACCCTCTCCGCAAGTTACTTTTTAACAGCACCTCTGAGAGCGAGAAGCCCATGAGAAATCGAACGTGGCTCCATCTCCGTCATAACTGCGATTTGCATTTCTTTGAAATGGCCTTGACATCCCGAGGCTCGTGCCGCCTCCCCTCAATCCCCTCAAAGATTATCCCCGAAAGCTGAAAAGCCGTTAGCAGTCCCAATTGCCAGATAAGGGCTTGCCCATTTCGTGCATTTGTCTAGGCCCTGGCGGCCCCGGCCTCATGAAAAGCCCGATCCTTACGACATATGATCCCCGATGACAGGCTCATGATCATCAGCATACACACGTCCGCTCCTACCTGTCACACACGTCCCAGTTCTTGTCGTCGTCTCGCACGCCGTGTCCCTCCATTGGGTCCGCATGCTTCATATCCAGCCAAGCAGGCACGCTGGAAAGTCCGCCACCGCCGCGGCAGGGTTTCACCTCGTGCGGCTCGACGCTTGCGTCCCCGAGGTCAGCGAGATTCCGGAGTAAACTGGCTCCGCTGGACGATCGCGGCACGATTTTCCGTTCACAGATGTGCCGTTTCGTTTGCTGAGCACGCTCTTCTAGGTGGTGACCCTGAGGTTTCGCAGGTCGGGTCGAAGAACTGCTAGTTTGCGGTTCACAACAGTTCCCCCTCGCGCAACCCAACCGCACTTCATCAACGGCGACGGCCGACTGACGCTCTCAGCTGATCAGTCGATGGAGGTGGCGCCACCGGCGCCGGAGATGACGTCACTAATGGTAGGGATGACGTCACCTACACTGAACAGCTAAGCTTTTCCCGGAGAGTAGCCAGAAGCAGGCGGATGAACAAAAGCTGCGGGCCGACTGAGCGGGTAATAGAGGTGAGCCTGACCGGATGATCACTGTCGTTAGTTGGAAGAAACAACGGCAGAATGCAGCACGGGCAGACTACAGAGGATGACGTGCTATTCCCGATTGATCAAACTTTCTGTGGCGGGAAATGAAGCTTGTTACCAACTAAAATCACTATTCAAACAAATCAGAGTGCCCCCCCCCCCCCCTCCCTACACACGCCACCGACGCCGATCAATTTTTCTGAACTCGTCCCTTAAATGCAGTTATCTCCTCAGTAGCCAATATTTCTAAAACTAGCACACGGGGCGAAGGGGAGACCTGAGCGACGGACATGCAGAGTTAAATCGCACACGGTGATGTGGAAAAATCCCTGTGCACATGGTCAACTTACAATATCGCCGGTTTTCTTGAAGCGCTCCCGAACGGAAGACACAGTGTCCATGATATGCTGTGCACGTGCGTAGTCTGGCAAAATGAGTTGGGGATAGAGCTGGGGAGGGGGGGGGGGGCTTAACCGTGAACAGTTGTGAAATTTACCCCAGAACTCCCCTACAAACAGACTTCTCTACAGATTTGGTTCACTTTTATCTTAAAATTGGGGGCTGGAGCCCAAGTCAAGGGGGGAGGTGAAGCCCCCCCCCCCCCCACTGATTAACAATTTACGCCCCTGACACCGTGCCATCGGCAGCAGCGTGTTGCGTATGTCTACGCGTCGGCGACAGCTATAAAAAAATATTGCGATGCTTCCAACGTGTGTTTAGCTATAATTGAACACTCCCGCACGGCATATACCTGCTGGACTATCTTACGGTTTATCATCCTCACCAGCCACCAGTACGTCCAGGTAGTTGCCGTCAGTTGTCTCTCATTCAGTGTTGTGCAAGGTACTATGACGCAATCAAGCAATCACGTACTGAGGAGCATATTTCCTAAATAGAGAAATTGTTGTGTCTAGAGCAGTTTTCCATGTTACATTATGCCAGTGGTTATAAGCGAGCTCTTATTTCATCATCCTTATGCTTGCTTCCATACCTTCAAATATGGAGCATTCTCTTTAAATTACTATTTCGTTTCTTTGAGAGTCTAAAGCCCTCATGCAGTACTGCAAAGGAGATAACCGTCATGAAGGCTTTACGAATGCATCTCCTGCAAAATGTTTTGAGGCAGATGCAATCATATCGTTAACTGCTCCTTGCAAGGCTCTCGTCTTTATTAAATGCGCAGCTCATGAAAAATGTATTCAAATTGCATGCTCCGGCATGTTATGAAGCCGCATGCTTCCCACGTTAGATGCAATTGCATGCTCGCCACATGGCACGTTGTTGCGTGCTTCCCATGTTATATGCAGTTGCGTGTGCCCTACATTATACGCATTACATGTGTCCTGGAGATATGCATGCTACGCAAATCATGTGCATTTCATGCTTCCCACGTTATATGCAGTTGCATGCTTCCCACATTATCTGCACTTGCATGCTTCCAACGTTACGCGCAGTTGCATGCTTTCCACATTATGCGTAGCTGCTCATGATTGCCTCATCATGAATCAGCGGGACTTGGCCGCCTCTGTTCTCATTTGTGTCCGTATATAACTGGCACAGCCTTCGTTATGAAATACTTATATCTCATTGAAGCGTTTATGACGAAATCAACCACCGCATTTGTATGTCTTTTCAAAGCGTTGTTAACTAAATTTGTTGGTCAAAGCCTCTTTTAGTTTGCATAACACAAGGGGAATGTACTTTGCAACACCATCACACCATGAAGTTAAGAATGGTGCTTTATTACACAGACAACAGGGTAGATGATGCGCCTAAAACAAATACAGAGCACATCGTGATAGCCCATGCTGCGTAACGCCGTGATGCTGCCGAGTCAGAGTGGAATGAACTGATGGTGGCGACGAGAAATGATATGCAATGCATGCAACGTCGGTATTTGTGGAATTTTAACGCGACATCTCGGGACAAAATATCGCGCAACGACATTTTACAGAAACAAAAACACGGCCATGAAATTCTGTTTGGAGAAACATGGATAAAACAGTCCCGAAAATTTACGGGTCGACTTTACAACGATTGTGGTTGCAGTGCAGCATGGCAACGCCCTGCCATGCTGCACCATCCATAAAGCGTCTTCAAGCCGAGTTCATCACTTTTCTTCTCCTCTCGGTGTCGTACAGCTTTGAGTTCCGCTTTTATGTCAACAGGATGCAGCCAGGATGATGAGGGGGGGGGGGGGGGGGGGGGCGAGCAGGCGGCCTGGACTATTCCCCTTCCTTTACGCCCCGCTTTTTTTAGTTTCTCATCTTAGATGGTTCCCGATAGAAAGTTAAAAATTGGTGTGGTCACCGAGCTTCTCCCCCCCCCCCCTTTAAGAAAATTCTGGTTGCACCCCTGAATGCGTGTAGCTCGAAAGTTTCCCACATATTTGAGTATCTTATTTACCTTCAAAAGGAAAGATAAGCGTCGCATCTTCGCGGGAGAAGACATTGAAGAAATGTGAGAAAGCATGCATGTTCGCACTGGAGTGTGGCATTGAGCACATGGCCTATGGCTCACAAAGGCGCAGGAATACTCCAAAACGCTGAGGAGCTAAGCTTTGACGTTAAGTCAGTGTACTCGTGCATGACAACAAGGTCGCTACCAAACGTTCACAAAAATGGGTTGGTCATGCCCCGCTTCCCCCCCCCCCCCGCTGCCCCTGTTTGCACTATGCTGAATGCGCTTCATATATATATATATATATATATATATATATATATATATATATACGCACATATGTATAGGCAGGCATAAGCTGGCATATAACATCTATATATATATATATATATATATATATATATATATATATATATATATATATAAAAATGTTATATGCCTGCTTGTTATATGTATTGGAAAATGTATATTTCATGCGAGTGAACATCATACAGGAACATTTACACTTGTAATTCCTTGGTTGTTTTGTCACATTTGATTTTTTTGCATTTCAGTTAAAACTTTCAAAGGTGTATATTTAATCATTTAGTCAGGTGAACCATCTTAGGTATTGCTCCAGCTGGTCCAGTAGCACCACGAACTTGAACGGTGCAAGCCATTGCTCATTAATAGCTACTAGTCGAACAGCGCGATTGGCCAAGGGATTAGGTCCACCTGGAATTGACGAAACCTGAAACCACTCGACCAGAAACCGGATAATCAACTTTTTTATCGAAATCAAATGTCCCCGTGATATAAGGTGAGCGAAAAAGTTTTGCAGAGCATCGTTAGGATGAATATCACACCGGCTGACGAAGGCAGTGAAATGAGACTTACTACGTATTATAAGAGTACGACAACTATCAGCCTTGTAATGAAAAACAGCCTGGAAGCAGACCAAAACCAACTAAAGCGAACCAATATAGTGCACGAACTTGAATGCCCGCACGGAGACTGCCGGCTCTGCAACTCGACCTTTATGGTAATGACCACATCTCTATCATGACGCATGACAATGCACCTGCATGAGGGAGCGCCGGACCAGCAGCCGGACGGGACCGGACCGGACCACGCCTGACCTAAGTGAAAACGCATTAATTCTTAAATAATGCCCACATAAACGCCATTTACAAGTTCTCGAAGACATCCTCATCAGAGAGAGAATCCCTGACTTGAACAAACAGTTAAGAAGGCCATGCATCAGTTGGGACCTGTTCAGTCGCCCAATGACAGCAGGGTGATTCGATGCCTTGAACATGTCATGGTATGAAACTGGCTGGAAAAGTGGCATTGCGTGTGTTTGCATATGTTTTGATATTTGACCTGATATTCGAATGCATGATATGTTAACTGATGGTTCACCTTTAATTATATCTCGTAGAGCGTGCCTCGTATCTCGCCAGATTTAAATGTTTTCCCTTCGACTGCGTCACGTTGCTTTGAGAATGGGAAATGAATGTACCTTGAAATCCTAGGTAGCCCAAACTGATGTATTGATCATACGCGAACTGATTTATGACTTACCAAAAACAGCGAAAAATTTAATTCTTACGATCGAGAAAACGCGCAAGAAACTGATTAAAGGCACCTTTGCCCTTGCACACAACAATACTTCATGTATTTATATATATACACACACACACACACACAAACATACATATATATATATATATATATATATATATATATATATATATATATATATATATATATATATGTACGAATCATAAAACAAAAAATTATTCCAGCCAAACACGTATTTAATGTTGCTTGTTCGCTTGCCAAAAGGAGTTTCGGGTACCATCCATCGTTATTTATTATTTGGGGGGCGGGGGAGACAGCACTGGATCAAGCGCCAGGCGTCTTGAGACATCGTTATCTAACCCAAGAGCGTTGCATGTAAAAAAAAAACTTTGCCCCCCCCCACCCCCCCCCACGGTCCTGGGTTCCTTTCTTTAGCCTTTACAGCAGCGTGGTGATTGTCTCATCATGTCCTGGTCTATGGGCGCTGTCACCGAGTGATCGCGTTACTTGGAATCGCGAAATTCCTGAAAAGGATACATCACGTTCCAGCCCCCCCCCCCCCCCCCCCAAAGAACTAGGTGTATGCATCGCAACTATTATCTGAACTGTTCCTGGTGCTTGCACGTCATGTCGCCGGCTGAGCATTCTAAATGTTCTTATTTATGGAAGCAAACGTGCAGCGTGATATCTTACGCCAATTTTGAAAAGCAACAAAAGCAAACCACATAATTCGTGAATCAGACCGTGCAAGCACATGCGCCAGAAACTCCTGTTTCACTTCCCGAGTTCACGATGAAAAAATTCGCGAGCGATGCAGTCTCACTTCGAGTTTGTGGTTTT